ACAGTTAATAAGTGGTTATTAACTATTAATAACTTGGAGTTATTAAGTGTAGGGTTAAAAATTCCCATCACTAGTTGTAACGAGAAATTCTTTTTTTTTTATTTTTTAAATCAAACAAAAATAAAAATGCCATCAAAAGGCCTAAAACGAAAAACAAGAGAAGAAGATGAAGAATTTGAAAGAGGGTAAGTGTTTTAAGAATAAGTATGGTGGTGGTTACCGCCCGCCACTCATCATTACTCTAGTTATTATTAAAATAATAGTAGCTGCAATCATTGTAACTTGATCATTCTATATAGCTTATAATAACAAAAAAATATTTGTTTCAAACATCCTAGCTATTACTACTCCTCACCTTCCCTTCAGGTTTGTCATCGAATGGCTCATTTTATTTTTAGTGAATTCAGTTTTTTGATTATAGAATTTAAAGTTAATATCAATTTCCCCAATGAATAAAGATTCTTAAAGAAAGTGCCATTGGAAAACTTTGTGAAATTTATGGGACGAATGAACAAATAATTAAAGACGCATTGGAAAAAGATGGCAATCTTTTAAATAAATTGGAAATTTCACTTATGAGAATAACTGAAAAATTAGATGGCTATTTTGACGAAGATGGTGATGCCTCAAATGTTTATGATGAGGTTGATAATCTCAGTAACAGTAGTAATAGTAGTAACTATGTTGAACCACAGGACAATGAGTTATATGATAGAAATAATGGTATTTTAGATGATTATGGTGAAAATAATTTCGCAGTGAATCCAATTATATCAAGCAATAATAACTCCAACGATAATGATGAAAATAATTTCGCAGTAAATAATCCAATTATATCAAGCAATAATAACTCTAACAATAATGATGAAAATAATAATAATAATAATAATGTTGGTGGTTTGGAAGAAAGCATTTAACAAACTTTTCTGTTTATTGATATATTAATATGTTAATTTATTGTCAACTTATGCATTTATGTTTTTAAAAATCTTACAGATGAGTTATAACCTTAGAAGGCTACAACAAATAAATTACAACATTGGAAGGCCATTATGAAAAAACATTGTCAAAAAAACAGTGTAATAGTAATTATAAACTGAAACATTAATAGTAGACAATAACATTTTATTTAATTTTTTTTTTTTACTTATATTTATAGAGATCATCACCATCAACAACATCATCATCGTTATCAGAAGTATCATCACTACCAGAATCTCCACAATCTCTGCCACCCAAGGTATACAAATATAATATAAAATATAATTATATTTTAAGATAAAATATTAAAATTTTTTTATCTTTATTTTATATATAGGAGGAATTATGCACACAGTGCCCTATTCATTGTAACTATTCCTCTTAATACCAGCTTTATACATTCTATCCGGTGGGAAAACTGTGATATCATCTGGAAAATATAAAAAAATTTTACACATGTCAATTGTAAGTTTAATAATAAAAAAGTGTAAAACTTACGTCGGCACTGTAAGATTTACACAATATTACGTTGGCATCGTAAGATTTATGCAAGTTTACGCTAAATTAATTTCCTGATGATATCACTAAATAATTTAAAATTAGGACAATCATACCCATTTCTTTCCATCATGGGTTGACAATTATTTAGTACGTCTCAGACAAAATCTATTTTTTTTCCTTTTAAACAAGAACAAATAATATTAGCAGCAGCAATAGTGATAAACAAGATTGTTGCCCAGAAAATAGGCATTTTTCAAGATAATTAATTATTTTTTTTTAAGAATGTCATAATTCATCGCTAATTTCATTATAGCTATTAAAAATATACCTTAAAATGTTGTGACAAATAACTCTCTCTTTTTCATCAATCTCTCCTTTTAATTTATTAAATCCTTTTAGTTCATCTTTAAAGGAAAAAAAAACATTTTTTATATCAGTCGTTGAAACAGTTTTTTTGTTACACTGAGCACAATGAGAAAGTCGATTAGCTTGGTTTTGTTCTTGACTGCCTTGAACCTCATAGGATAAATTTCCTAATTCTCTTATCATTATATTATATCTAACTTTTTTCCCTCTAGTTTTTTAATTCAGTTATCTAATCCCTCATTGGTCTCTCAACTTTCTCAAAGAATTTCCCCTTTTTTCTTTTTCTGAGCAATTTCCAATTGTTTTCCTCATTCTAGATTTTTCTTTCTCTTATCTGATCACCAAGTTTTCGATTTTATTGCCCACTTCAGGAGTATTATTTTCTGATTTGTTTTTATTAACTTCAACTTTTGTGAATTGATTGTGTCACCAATTAACTTTGGGAGAGCGTGTTTTAATTGATGATAACAAATTTTTAATATATTGGCTCAGTCTAAAGACCTCCTCAGTTTTGCATAAATTTTAAAAGTATAGAAGTCACTTTCTGTCCTATCTTTTAAAAAAATAACGTTATTAGTTGATAG